TTCAAGAAGTCGCTTAAAAAAAAATTTGGCGCACTTTTTTTTTTTTTGGTAATTGATTGGTTTACGCAATTAACCCTAAAAAAAAATAATAAATAAAAGGATTAGGGCAAGTACAATCTAGAAGAAGTATTAGATTCAAATTACAAAAGCATTAAACTTTGAAGTAATGATGTGAGTCACCACACTCACACTTTTTAATTTTTTTTTATTTTTTTTTCCTTTCAATTGGTATTCACACACACATGTCTCTATTAAGACTTAAACCCTGACATCACTTTAGGAGGTAAGAGACTAATACCATTAGGTTACGTCTCGTTGGTATCACAACACTCACTCTACCTTGCGAATTACGATTTTAGAGAGAAAGAAATGACTTGAGTGCAATATAGAATAGATATGTGTTGTGTGTTTATTATGTGATGGGTGAAATATGGATTGAATATAGATGTCCATAGTCAACCCATCTTAACCCTCAAATTAAGTGGTTAAAAATTACCCAATCCATTTTTGACTCATTTTAAATATGGTTCACCCAAAACCATTAAAAAGCGGGCGGATAGGGGTGGGTTGATAGGTTGTGACCCATTTTGCCACTCCTAGTCTTGGGCAAGCAATACCAAAAAATGTATTAAAAAACAGGACATAATTTTCAATTAAATTAGTCTTTTGTTGTAATAGAAAGTAATTGAATTTCTTAATATTTCAATTAAATTCCACTTTTAATAAATACTTCCAATTAAGTTTATCACTATATCAATAATGATATTTAGTTAACATTGTGCATTCTTTAAATACTTTTTTTCTATTAAGTTACTAGTTATACTTATACCCTTTACCTCTAAAATTTTAATTCACAATAAAAAAGCACATAGCCACAAATTAGCAATTTCTAAAAACATGTAATATTTTAATTGAATTTCACTTTTTTGTGGTGGAAATTTTTGTAACATGCTTAAAAAGTTCTGTGATATTGGAGTTGGAATTTTATTTTTTAAATGGGATGAAATTAGTTTTTGTGGGATAAATGCAACTCCAATAAATACATCTAAAAAAATTGTAGGAACTAATTTTATTTCTTTAATAAATAAAGATAAATTATTCTAACCTTTTATGAAGTTTGGACAAAATTCTGCATCGTTCAACATTTATTATTTTGATCTTCCTTAAACTCGTTCATCGGTTTACTTTGAACTTTCACTATATGTTATGAATGATATTGAACACGTCAAGTCTCAAGCAAAATCAAAATAATAAGGGTATGTTTGGTTTAGGACAATTATCTGAAATCAAACATTTTTATAACTTAGTTTCAGAAAACCGAATCAAGAACATTTTTAGAAAACTGAATTAAGTAAAATTTTGGGTTAATTACAATAACACCCCTTGAGGTTTGTCATAATGACATCCATATACAAGTTGGGCCTATTTTAAACAATGACACCCCCTCACATTTGATAAAGTTAACAAAAACATTCCAATAGTCAGCAAGATCTGACACATAGTGAAATGACTTTATTATCCTTTGACTTATTAGTTACCCTATTTAAATAATATAATTATATTTTTAACCTTCACACCCACCATTCCAGGCCACCACCACCCACCACCACCACTCCACAGCTCATATTAAGAGAGCATGAACACACGGATAAATATATGTATATATATATACTACAATAATAAAAATCATGTAATTGGTGCGTGTGTTTATGTATATATTATTTTGATAGTATGTATCTGTTTATGATTCCAATAGGGGTGTTTAGAAAAGTAAAGGTGAACTAATTACAAAACGGGTGTTGAAGGATTGATTTAGACAAGGAAAGTTGAAAAATCGGTTTGTGATTGTAATTGGGGTGTTGAATGATTGATTTAGAAAAGGAAAGTTGAACAATTGGGTGTGTTTGTGTGTAATATATGTATTGATGTGTATAGAGAGAGAGAGATAATCATGATTTTCTATATATACAGATAATATAAAAATCTCTCACATAAATTTTTTTTTTTCTAAATAAATTCCTTTTTTAACTTTCCTTTTCCCCTAAATAAATTCCTTTTTTCTTTCCCTACAACACCGATTGCTAACACACGTGCATAAAGAATCCATACACAAATATACATACACAATGAAGGGCTGATAATAATCAATCAAGAATCTTGAAACACCGGGAAAGCACCGTCGACCCAAGTTTTAAGAAATAGAGGAGCAAAGAGAACAAACAGAGAAGCAACCCTCTGCCGCGATCCACGAAGCCACAAATCAATCTAATTCCTTCACAAAATTCTACAAACCCTAGTCCAATGCAACTTCCATCGTCGTGATCCACTTCCTTCTCATACCACCCATAGCACAGATCAACCATGGTGGTGGTGAAGAGATGCAAGTTTTATTTTTGCAAAACTTAGAGAGAGAAGAACGGATGCATACGCCGTGTTTAGGAAAGAAAGAATGAATATCCAACGGGGTAAGCTTCACTGAAGGGCAAAAATGACTTTTCATGAGTTTTGATTTTTCACAATGAAAATGAATAAAATATTCATAGGCAATTTCGTCTTTTTAAATATTTTAAAGGCTGTTTGGATCCAAAATACTTGTATATGACTGACATTATGGCAAACCTCATGTGGTGTCACTGTAATTAATCCTAAAATTTTTGTACAACACTAATATTTCATAAGTATATTTATCAAAATAACAAAAATTATAGGATATAATAGTAAAAAGTAAAATTTAGGGGGTCATATGCTGGTTCCGTTGTTCAATAATAATTTTTTAAAATAATTTTAAAGAAGCAATAGTACTATTTCATAAGTATATATCAAAATAACAAAAACTATAAAGTATAATAATGAAAAATAAAATTCAAGGGGCATATGCTGGTTCGTGACTGAAGGTGACTGTGTAATTTTTTTTTATTTATAAAATACAAAACGGTGTCGGAGTCAAGTTGGGTACCAACAGTCCACAAAAGAGGGTCGATTTATTTGGAATGTGATTAATGAGGGTGCATGTGAATTGTTAGATATGCGAATCCTAGTCTCTTGATTCGAGTAGGTAAAGGTCTCCCACAATAGACAGTCAACGACTTTCAGGCATTTCCAGCCGCGAACATGGAGGGCCACGTGTTACACTTTTCAACAACACACCGTTGCTTTCCACAAAAACAGAGATCTGCCAAAATTTTCTCTCTCATCATGTGGATCTTTTGCATGCACTTTATCATTAATTCCATTGAAGTAAGAGCTTGGAACTCTTAATGCAAATTGGAACTTTCTTAACACTTAATTAATCCTTAAAATATTGATATATTGTTCTTCACAACTAACACTCTCCACAATTTTTACAAAAACTATTCTAATTTTCATATTTCAAAATTAATTTTCTCTTTTCATTATAGTAAAAAATTGCAAAAAATGCAATGAAGAAAAAAAAAAAAATCTATATATATATATATATCATCATCATCATTAATCCAATTAGAAGCATGTAAAATGGAGTTGTTGGTATAAATTATTTTTTCGCTTTTTTTTTTTATAAGATATATTCTCTTGAAATCGTTTTAATTACCTTTATTTCATATAACTTTTAGTCATAATCTTTGTGATTTATTGTTAAGGAAGAGCTTATCCCACATCGAATCCAGATAGAAAAATGTATGAATATAAATAGGTGAGTATTAGCATTACCCAATAACTTAATCTTTTGAATAAATGAACAAGTTACATTTATCACCTAAGTTTACTTTCCCTCTATTGAATATGACCTATGTCTAATTTCTTCAATTTTAAAATTTATATAATATACCTAGTATTTCTCTAATTTATTAATTTTTGATATTTTTTTTATACGGAACTCAAACCCCTTCCCATATGATTAATATACATAACGATAACGACAATAGTATTTTAATTAACAAATGTACCATCAATATATTAATTAGGGTGAACTACATTAAACCCTTCTTTTCTATCTGTGTTTTTCACTAAATCTCTCCTTTTTATTTTTTTTGTCAATAAACTCACCTCAACTATTCGAGGGGGGTGATTTAACTAACGAAAGTTAGCTGAAAAGGAACTGTTTGGACATTTAATTTCTCATATATTTTTTAAACAAAAATGTCCTTGTACCTATTTTAATATACCCTCACATATATACCTACTCCATTATCACTCTTAACCGCATATCTTCCACTATTGTAACAACACGCACTTTTCCATCATTATAATAGTATATATAATTTGTATCATAATATAATGGTATATATAATATGTACCATTAAATATTATTTATATTATATTTTCATTTCTATCCAGCCTTCAGACCAATATAAATCTAGGTTTTTTTCTTGAAATTTATCTGCTATATATATATATATATATTTGAGAATTATATTGTGCATTCATTTATTTAGTTTTAGTGATTTTCATTTTATATAGATTTATTAAAGGGACATTACGAGAAATAATGCCTAATTTTTTTCCTTCTTTATATTAATATTTATGCCTACATGTTTTATTTTTTTCTATAAAAAAATAAAAAATTCCTTTCATGTGACTAATGTGAACTTGTCAGTTTAGTAAAATGTTAAAACAAAAAAAAAATAATAGAAGTGTTAATTTGTGTGAATGACGTTGTTTAGGTTTTTTAATAAATAAAAAAATAAAAAGTAAAGTAGATTTTCAAATAGGCTTTAATGTGTATTTAAATCAATTTATATTTCAGTTCTCTTTCAACTAATTTCTATTAATTAAATTATCCCTTGAATAGTTGAGGGGAGTTTTTTAACAAAAATAAAAAATAAAAAAAAATTTAATAAAAAATATATATAAAAAAAAAGAGGATTAATGTACTTCACCCTATTAATTAATCATACTGATGAATATGCCTCACTCCGTAAATAACGTTAAGACAAGCGAGCAGGCGTATCATAGGGTTATTTTGGTCATAAAAAGCCGCTTTCAGAACCTCGTTGAAATTGAAAAAGTTAAAAAAAGGCACTTCAAGTTTGGTGTTTCCAAAGTACAAAGCCGTTCGAACAAAGCTCCCTCTGTTTTTGCCTATTTCTCTCGCTCTCTAACCTCTGTCGTTTCCCATTCGATCACCTACATCCTCTCTCTCTCTAACTTTCTCTCTCTAACACTCTCTCTCTCCTACTGCCTTTGCCTTCACACTATTCAACAAACTCCAACATTCCTTTGATGGACTCGCTCTCGCAGGCGGTCGGCCCCAAGCTGCTTCTTCCGGCGGCGAGCTCTCACCGATCACACGCACTCTTCGGCTCCGTTCTTCCAAGTTCGGCGCCGAACTTGCGCCGAATTTGCAAGAAAGTTCGAGTGCATGCGGAGAATCAGAGACCGACTAGCGCGATCGACTTCTGCGATCCTGATTGGAAATCCAAGTTCCAGAACGACTTCGAGCGCCGATTCAACATTCCTCACCTCACTGATGTTTTCGAAGACGCCGTTCCGATTCCCTCCACTTTTTGTCTCAGGATGAGGTATTCTGAATTCAATTTTGACTTTTGTTAGATTGTAATTCACCATTTCTGTGCTGTTTTTGAGTTTTGAAGTTCTAGTTTAACTTCGTCTTTACATTATTATGTTGAAGAATTTTTTGAATTAATTATTGAAGCCAGACTTTTTTTTAAAAATATGTGATTTGGTTTTTTTGATGTTGAAATTGGACATGTGACAATCTGTGCAAATCTTGTATCAGTTTGTATTTTGTAGTAAAACCTCATTGATTTTAGTTAACTTCCAAAAAAAAAAAAAAAAAAAAAAATCTCATTGATTTTAGTTCTTTCTGTTCTCTGTCATTTATCAATTTTGAATTTCTAAGGAATTTGTTGATTATATTCTAACTCAAGTTGGCACTTGTGGCCTTGGAAATGTTAATGACTTTGATTAGAAGGACATTGATCATGAATTATGTTACACGGAAGAAATGGAACTAAAGATTGTGGTTATTTTTTTTATTTTTTTTCCCCGATCATTAGCAATTGTGCATGTCTAAATTAGATTAGAGCCAATATATATATTTTTTTCCAGGACTCCGGTAATTGAAGATTTTGCTGATGGTTATCCATCTGATGAGAAGTGGCATGGATACATAAATAATAATGACAGAGTACTTCTTAAGGTATTCTTTGATCCTACTTTACCTTTTATCTATATCCCTCACAGGACACTGCAATTGAGAATTTTCCGCCAAATTTCAAAATTTAGACGGATCTACTTATGCATTTTTTTTTTTTGTTTTGTTTTTGTTGAAGCTAATATTTTACTAGTACTCTAACTGTGAATGTGGTGATCATGGATTGTTTTCCATGTTTACTGTGATCATATTGTTAGGAAAGGTCGAAAAAAAAAAAGACAACCGAAGAAATTCAACCATTTTCACCAGCTACAAAGTGAACTTATTTGAGACCCATCCGAAACTCAATTTAATAGTGTCCAATTTTTAGTTGCTCTAGCAAATGGAGAAGTGAATATCTTATTTAATATTTCAGGTCATACGCTACTCTTCTCCTACATCTGCTGGTGCTGAGTGCATTGATCCCAGTTGTACTTGGGTGGAGCAATGGTACATGTCACTACTTTTTCAAATAAATATGTTAATCAATAAGAATGCCTATGATTGTAAAATAGAAAAACTTTTGATATCTTATGTATTAAGCTTCCAAGTAACTGTAGCACTGTCACTGCCTCCCGGTAGCCAATGTTAATTGATGGGTGAGAAATAAGAAGACCGTGACCCAAGGTTCTGATATGTCAGAGTGCGCAAAATCCAATATAGATTTAGAGGGGGTGTGGATTGATCTTGTTCAATTCTTACTAACAATAACTGATTTTCAACCTCTCACAATAATTTTTTTATATGAAGCAATATGAGTCAGTTAAAGTGTAGACAGCAGAAATAAATAATTAAGCAATTGCATGTGAACACGCAACTTATGTGAAAAACCCCAACAGGGAAGAAAACAGGACATAATCCAGACAGATCAAATTTACTAAGAGAGATAAGTATACAACTAGGTTGACCAATTTTCCAAACGCTAGCAAACCTCTAATTACCTATTACACAGACTTATGCCAAACTCTCTACTCAAGTCTTTAGGTTGCTGCTCCATCAACAAATCCGCTTCTCACACGATCTGCTCCTCCTTCAGTACATTGATCTTTGTGACATATAAAGTCCACAATTTGTGTTCATTGTGTATAAACACATTGGCGTTGTATTGGGGTTTCTCAGTTGCAGTCAGAAAAGGAAAACTAAAACCTTTTAGAATTATAATTTGAGATAGTTACCAAAACAGTTTGTGCACAGGTGGATCGATTGAGCTTCCGATTCAACCATGCTGGTACCCGTTTTACCGATCGAGCTTTCGATTGAAGTATGCTAGCCTTTAGACACAATTAATTTGAAATTTTTTGATCTATCTGCATATTGATCTAAAGCCATTTTGCTTCATGTAAAAACTTCATGTTTAAATATATTTGATGTAAAAAAATATGTACATTCAAATATCTTTGTAATTAATTGAAATCTGTATGCCTTGTGTCCCAATATAAATCATGATGAGAATACATCATCATGAACCCTAATTTGGTAATTTATAATTCAAGAGGTGAATTTACCTTTTTACTGTTTTGAGTTCCAATTGCTTTCTCTTCATAGTCCATATATCTGAAGTAAATTCTAATCCTAACTAACTAAACCAACTTCTGAAAATAAAACAAAATTCACAGACTCTAGCTATTGTTAGAAATTTGCCAACACTAAATTCTAATAACCCGAAGCCTGTAGACAATGAGATGCTAGGAACTACATGCATAGAAAAGATGAAATGAATGGGTCTTTAACCATATAATATACTTCTTAGTGATCAGAGTTACAGTTTTTCATACAATAGATTGCTGTTTCTCATACTGCTATGGCTATCCTCAAGGAGTCATACCATTGGGAATTGAGTGAATCAACAACAGGATCATTGGAATGGAATTTTCAGGTTCTCAACTCCTATTGGTTGTTTATTAGGAAACAGACTCTTCAGTTCACTGAGTAATATGTCCAAGTTCGGCTCCACCATCAATGAACCTTCTTACAGATTTTGAACTCTCCAACTAATTGGCATTATTCAATATAACAGTAAATCTCTCTTAAAGTTGGAACTTCGGACATAAATTTGGTATTATTAGTGGTTATGTTCTGATTGAGCCGTTAACCAGCACCAAGCAACCAAAATACTCCACCCAGAATCCACTATTTAAACATGTAACATTTCATTATCAAACCTGTTATTGAAACTATCAGACCAATCATTTATTCTTCTTCTTTTTCCCATAGAAAATGGGTTAAAATAATGTGAGTTTGTTGAAATTCAAGATATGATGTATGATGTGGCCCCAGACAAAGGAGCCTAACAAACTTTAGTTTGTGCAATGAAAATCTCTTCAGAAATGAATTTTTTTTTTTTTTTTTTTTTTTTCAAATGGGTAAATGCTCTTGAAAGAAAGACATGCTGCTAATTGCACTTTTTATAAAGTGTATGAAAAGAATTTATTTACTTCTTTATTGAAAAATAAAATTTTATCTGGTCATGTATAATATAGATTTCAATTGATTTCTTGGTGAATCAACTCTTTGCGGGCTTATTATGGGATACCGGAAACCTTTGTGGATCCTAATGAAAAAGTGATAAATGTTTATTCTGACATGCCTTGAATGTTGGAGGAGGTTGTTTCTCCTCATCTTGTTGAAGGATATCAGAGAAACGACTTCATCCATTTTCCTAATTTTGTGACATTATTTCTTCTGTATTGACTGATTTATTACTCACTTCCATTTCCCTTGTGGTGGGGGTTGGCTCCACCCCAGATTCTCTCTTCTCCAATCATTTCCACTTTTCCTTTGTTTAGAAGTCAACTACAGAAAGGAACACAAAGTCCATTAGATTGCTACATTATACCTGATTTTATTGTAATTGTTATAGTTTTATTTTATTTCATATAAATACTTGTATAATGTAATATTAAACATTATCTAAGGATGTGGCACCGATCTTGTTCCAGGGTTCACCGTGCTGGTCCCCGGGAGGAAATATACTTTAAACCAGAAAAAGTAAAAGCAGCAATTGTAACTTGTGGAGGACTCTGTCCTGGTCTTAATGATGTCATCAGACAGGTACTTATCCAATGCAAAAGTCATTGTGTTTGTTAACAGTTTTGTCCACATCAAACCTGAAACATCTTTTAATGAAGTCATCACATTCAATTACCTGTTACAATGGAATTATAGTACCATTACAATTGACCCAAATGATTACAATTTTTTTAGGTTTCACATATCTACTGCCTTTTAATGGCACATGCTTATGTTTGGAGTAAAAATTCACATAATTGTAAAATTAAGCACCTGACACATATGTTAATGCTAAAACGAAGACGAACCTTGTGACTATCATTCTAGGAAAAGGAAAAAGAAGCTCTAATTATATCACCGCCAAGGCTGATAGATAGTTGCAGAAGATATAGAGGATCCCATCTGTACCAAAGTTACTGATATAGCACTTGCATAGGTCTCAAAACACTTCCCAGTTTTTGATTGTCATTCTTTTTCTCTATTTCCTTTGTATGTGCAGATTGTCATCACACTTGAAATATATGGTGTGAAAAAGATTGTGGGGATTCCTTTTGGTTATCGCGGTTTTTCTGACAAAGAATTAACTGAAATGCCGGTAAGATCCTCTTTTTATTATAGTCCTAATGTCAATTGAGTCATAAAATTTGATGTATGACATATGCTTTCTTGACACGTCTTTGATGCTTAGTTTCCATGGTTTGTTTCTGATGAATGTTTTATTCTTGGGGAGAGCTTCTTTGCAGTACAATTTACTTGGTAGGATTTACAACACCATTTTGCCTCTGTTTTTAGATGCCTTGATAGACGGTTTGGTGGTCCTTATGTTTGGAAAGGCCATTGATGCTTCCTTGCCACATGGCTTCACCGTTATCTCTCCTACTTGGTAATAACATACGTTACCATGTTGACTCAGTTGTAATTGCGTCAATTTATATTTTGGTTGGACCTTAAATTATCATATTTCCTTGGTAATGCTTGTATTGATGTTGGTTCTTCCCGGTTATTTGAATTATATGAACCATAGGGTAGGGTTTCCATGTGACAAGTTGCCAACTACTCTTGGCAAGGATTATGGCAAGATTATAGTTGTTGAAGGCACGACTAGCCCTATTAAACACCCAACTTGTCAAGGCTCAGTAGAAGCGCATTAACTTACTAAAGCATGGCCTCTTCAGTAAGTGCACATAAATCCCTTGGGTGTGCACTTTTTAGTAGGCTTAATAAATGCACGCCTCTATTCCTTAATCATCCAATCATATTATTTCCTTTTATTGTTTAATGGCCATTAATGGATATGCTCTATATCATTACAAAACTCAAAACAACAAAGTATTTTCCCCACTATTAGGCTTGGTTACATGAATTCTGTTTCACCATTCTGCTCTATTGAAGGTCATAGCCCGGGTTAAACCACAGATATCACATCTTTCCTCCCTATCTCAATTCATGTTAATTTTGGCTTACCCTCCTTAACATTAACCTTAATAAGGATCACGTCACTTTTCCAAACCAATGCAGTTATTAATCATTGTTACGCATAGCCAAACCATCTTAAAAGGTTCTCTCTCATAATTGATTGATCATATTCACATTGTTTAATCATGTTGGATGTTTGGTATACAAAATTCGTGGACATATAATTGATTACTTGCACTAAACTTGTCTAGTTTTTGATATTTAATGTTTATGATAATATAATGTGTTTTTTTAAATCTATAACTCTATATGATTTTAACCTTTTATTATTGCATGTTCGCAATGGTATTTGACTAGTTTCGTGTTGGATCTTCTGATTTTTTTCAATTGTGCATTGATTTAGTTGAATGCATGTGCAATTTGTCAAAGATATTAGCCAATTCTTGGAACTAATCTGCTGAAAAAATTATCATTTACATTTTGACTATTTTGTGTAGTATTTAATTTTCTTCGACTGTAACTGTTTAATATGCATTTCTATCAAACATGCACCTTGTTTTCACTTAGTTTCTTGCCTTGCACTTAGGCTCCGATTGATCTTGATACCTTAGCATGCCTTGAGCTTATTGACGCCCACCCTCTCCCCAGCAACAAATTCTGTTAAATTTAATGTTAGTGCCTAATTAGTTGACAATAGCCAGTCGTAAGATAATCTCAAAGTATGATGAATCCATAAAGCCAACCCCACACAGCTGGGGTAAGGCTTGCTGGTCCTGGGTTTGATTCATGTTTTCAGATATGTATATCTCCTCTAAATATAGCAAATTTCATTTATTTGTTTAAATGTCTTTGATTATCAGTTATCCAGGAAAGTGGTTCAAAATATTCATCTTTCTGGAGGAAGCTTGTTAGGAGTTTCACGTGGAGGACCAAGTATTAGTGAACTAGTGGACAGTATGGAGGTGCTCAATTATTATTATTATTTTCACGTGCAGATCATTCCCTGGTTTTATTTATTTATTATTTTGGAATTATATACACAATACCAAATGATGCTCAGAATGATGCAATCTGATATCCGTATTTATTTGAACTGATGTCAGGAGAGGGGAATCAACATGCTCTTTGTGTTGGGTGGAAATGGTACGCATGCTGGTGCCAATGCGATACACAACGAGGTTTCCAAACCTGTCTACTTGATACTCGATCTATGCACCATATTTTTTATGTAATCTGCTTTAATGTCCATAAAAATCCTTTTTTTTTTTTTTTTTTTTTCCTTCTGTGCTTCACTAAGTTTCGTAGAGATCTTAAGGCTGCACTGGGGCTGATAAAGATCTGGTCCCAGACTGATTAATACCTGTCCACAGAACAAATGAGACCTGGCTGGTTGAATACAAATTCAATATTTTGAGATCTGATTATTATTGGGTCGGATTTGGTTTTAGGTTGATTTGATCTGAATAAGACCCAAGTCTGATTAAAAGATATTATGCGTAGTAATTTTGTATTTCATACATGTTTTTCCAAGTATAATGCTATTATTTTATCAAATATTTTAAAATGTATATGCTTAGGATATTTATTCAAATTTGCTCTGGATTCAGATATTTGAATTCATAAATCAGATACAAACTCGGATATGATTTATAAGATTCGTTGGATTCGGATTTGCACTTGCTTCATTGCATAAAAAGTCTAGTTAGGATTCTGATTTTGCCTAATCCGTACTTAATCTGACACATTTGACAGCCTTAGAAAAACTTGGCCCAGAGTGACTTATTCAATTTTGATTCATTACCTCTCAATTTTAAAGTTGGGTGCATGCAGTCTTTGTGAAAGATGTTTTGGTGGACATGCACTATGTATCTACAAAATATATGTTTGTATTGCGTTAGTTAAATGTACTCTTTATAGTAAGCTCTAATATGAAGTAACTAACGTTCTGCTATATGTTACAGAGTTGATATCTTTCCAGGTCTCACTTTCTTTCTAACTGTTTTTGAGTTATGAAATGCTTGATCTACTCCCTTCTGGTGGTTTATTTTTCATTTACAAAGTCTAATTTCTTTTTTTCTCCTTTGGTTTGTAGTGCCATAAAAGACGGATGAGGGTGGCTGTAGTTGGTGTGCCAAAAACTATAGACAATGATATTTTGTTAATGGATAAGACTTTTGGTTTTGATACTGCCGTTGAAGAAGCTCAAAGAGCAATTAATTCTGCGTACATCGAGGTACAATTGGTTTTAATTTTAGTGCTTTGAAGAAGCTCTAAGAGCAATTAGTTCTGTGTACATTGAGGTGCAATTGGTTTTAATTTTAGTGCTTTACCTTGAACCCAAATCCTCTCTAGTGTACCCGTATTCGGCAATGCACTGGGAACTACTGTTGGGTTGATCCCAGCCATCCCAAATTCACTGCGTGATACAGGTGCACTGGGGTTGATTTTCTCTCTCTTGTTCAATATGCAAATTAAGTTCTTTCATTTATTTATTTTCCTATTTATCGGAGTCATCATCATTACAATCCTTGCGTTTATCCCAGTCGAAACGGGTCAGCCATATTAATTCTCTTTTAGCAATTATATACTATTGCACGCCATGTCTACTCTTATATTTAATATTTTTCTAATTATTTCATCCCAAGTAAGTTTTGATCAACCTCGTTGTCCTCTTTCTAGGAGTAATGTACTAGAAACTCTTTGCTGAGGCCACCCCATAGGGAGGAGGTGCTAAGACCTAGGTTCAACTCCCAATTGGAACATTTTTGTGTCTGTTGTAATTATACTGGAACCCTTTTTCTTGTATTGTCTCTTAATTAAACTTCCTTTTTTTTTTCTCTTTCACTCTTGTGACAGGCTCATAGTGCTTATCATGGTATTGGTATTGTGAAATTGATGGGTAGAAGTAGTGGATTTATAGCTATGCATGCATCCCTTGCTAGTGGACAAATTGATATATGTTTGATACCCGAGGTACTGTTACTAGATCTAAATTGGATAAATATTTGTCTGAGCTCTAATTTTTTACACAGTCTACATGTGAACTTTTAAGGTACCTTTCCGTTTACATGGACCTCATGGTGTCCTGAGGCATCTGAAGTACCTACTTGAGACGAAGGGATCGGCCGTAGTCTGTATCGCAGAGGGAGCTGGGCAGGTGAGTTACGTTATTTTTTTATTTTTAGGCTTATTGGTAAACCACATTAAACTGAGTGAAACATATTTTTGTCTATTTTTCTTGCATATAAAGCCTTATGATTTCTGCCAAATGTAATATCCTATTTTTTATCTACCCTCTTTTTCTTTCACTATATATTAGAGTTGAAAAAACAAATTACAGGAAGATATAAGGGGGAGCTGCTACATGTGATGTATACTTATAGCTGAAGTTTCTAACTTCATGTAGATATTTCGGAATGTTATATAACTTCTCAATCAAGTCCTTTTTCTCCTTTCGATTTTAATCTATAATTTTTTTTACGCACAAAACTAATAGTAAAACTAGGGACCTTTTGAGTTGGAGATCTGTTAGGCTTGTGACAGTTTGATGAGTGCTCCAGGTTTAGAATAACTGCTTCTACCATTTTACCAGATGAAGAATGGTTTAGTATATGTCATGGTTTCTGAGCAAGTATAAAACATGCCAAAAACGTTTATATTCAAAGTTTTGTCCAAGTTAAGATGATGCTATACACAGTAAACTTTTAATCTTCCTCTTCTTTTCATATCTGTCAATACTCTCATGTGCAACCGTGACCTTGACGGCAAGCTTGTCTTTTGCACACCTACTCTGCAAGAATACTTCTCATTAATTATCATTTCAGCATTTTAGTGATTCATGTATTTTCTGAACCACAAAGAGCAATGAATTTGTTTTTCCTTTGTTTTTATGGCCCACCATGTCAGATAGTTAAGTTAATTTCCTGTTATTGGGTTAACCATTTGGGTTATTTGCCCCTCTAGATATTTTGGCATCTTACGTAAATTTTTAATTCTCTCATGTTGTGCATATATTGTGAATCTGTAGAATATAGCTTCTGTTTCCTTTGGTAAGTGTAGAAGATAGCTTCTGTTACCTCCTGACTCCAAAGTTTTTGATAACTTCTGTTTCTTCTTCTTTATTCCTCTCCTTCTTTACACTTTTCCTTTTCAGAATATGCTCAACAGCTTTAGAACCAGAAGCGTGCTTATAACAACTTCATTCAGATACTCCATGCACTCAATTTCCAAAATTCTGCAGAATACAAAAATATTTCTTAAAAACTTTTTCTGTCATGGTGCTTTTGACTCTTAAGTATTTTCCAAGTTCCTTTTCTTTCTTTCTCTTTGTAAAAAATTTCCCTCATAAATTGACATTGCTGCCTTTTTTTCTTAATAATAACTTTTGATGCACGATGCTTTTTCGACTTGCCAGCGTTATTACTTAAACTTCAACGATTTCTTTTTTTCTTTTTTTTTTTTCTTTTTTATTTATTTTTATTTAACATAATACCTCAAGGTTTTAAACCTAGAGAACGGGCATAGTTTGTAGTTATGGGGAAGTTGATTGAATGTTATGCAGATCTATTGCTTTAGTCAACATTTCATGTTATTATGAGATGACTATCTAGAGCTTAGTGCTTTTGTGTTGTTCTTTATGCAGAATCTCCTTGAGAAAACTAATGCGAAGGATGCATCTGGAAACATTGTATTTGGAGATATCGGTGTACATATACAACAAGAGGTTAGTACTTACATTGTCATGCTGTTCTTGCTCTCTGGTGAATGGCTCTTAAATACTGTTAATGTGGTCTATGGTTAATAATAGTTTGACTGGTTTAATCAGATTATGTGAGGGAAAGTTGAACTTAATTTTCTTTTTCTTTTTTTTTTTTTTAATAAAAAATTGTAGTGTTGTGGTGTGACTAAAATGGCTTCTATTCATGAGAGTGATGAATTTATCATTATGCCAAGTTCTTAAATTTCAGTACTTTTATCATGTGGAAGATTTGATGCGGGTTTCATGTAGAGAATAAAAAAAGTGGATATGCATTTGGGTCATACAGTTTCAACTATCTTGTAATTTACTATGTCCATGGGATGGTTGCAATCATCATTTTATTGAACAATCTTCAATTGTGGGCAATCTGCATGAGATTTTCCTTGTTATCTACTGAAAATTATAGTACTATATTTTGGAGGTTTTAGAAAAAATTTATGCTGAGTTACTGATTTTACATTGGTGAAAATGCAATTGTTGAGATTGATGGACGGCAAGACAAAAAAGGATATAATTAGAATTGAATACATCTTAGTTGTTGAAGTAGTACTAGTTGGAGATAAAATGAGGGAAAACCGATTAAAATGGTTTGAACTTGTGCAAAAAAGATCACTAAATGTGCCAGTAAAAAAAAAAATTATATGGTTCACATGGAGGGTAATGTTATAGGCAAAGTATTAGTACACAGAGAGTAGGATTTTTAGTTCTTTATTTGGAAAAGGAAACTGAAACTCCAAACAGCTCGATTAATTTTGGAGCTGGTTGATTAATCGATCGACACAACCCCGTAGAGCTTTGACCGATTGTTCGATCAATCGAATTTCTCTGCAGATTTATAATTAAAAAATTAACTTTGCAGAAAGATAGTTACCAAAACATTTTTATATGCAAATCAATTAGAATTTTCTGAATCAATTCAAATCATGTATAATTAGAAACCCTAATGAATGAATGCATAAACCTTAATTTTGATGAGTGCATTGAAGTGTTAAATTACCTTTATATCATTGGTGTAGAATATTACACATTTACCCTTGAATATAGCTAAAATTCCATCTTCAAACATGAGCAAGAGGTAACAACCTACACTAATTGACTTTTGAAATTTCTAACAAAACTGCAAATCAAAACAAAAGTTGCAAGCTCTAGTTTTTATTTAAGAAATTTGTCAACCCAAGTCCTATTAACTTAACACAGCTGATAATCGTTACAACAAACGCCGTGAACCAAAAACGAATCAAGAAACACGACAGAAAAGTAAACATGCCACCCAAAGAATACAAAAATTTACATGGTTTGTCAAAGCCTACGTCCACAATGAAGATCCGGCGAAAGATTTCATGCAAGAGATACAAGTCTCTTTCTCTTTCTCTTTCCTAAGGTTTTCAGTGTTCACTCATTACCCACTCCAAAACCCTAAACGCCCTTATATACTGGGCGACAAGGGAGTCCTAAACAGGGTCCAAGACCCACAAGCCAAAACGGGTCAAAACAAAGCCCTTTTTTTGGGTCGCAACACGACCCGGGGCGGAACAAAATTCGGGCTACAACATCATTTTTCCTGAATTTCTAGAAGAAAGCAAGATACACATCCATTTATCATCCATTGAGTTTAGATGTGCTTTGGGTTAACATGGGCCACATTTATGTTTGACATTATTCAGTTGATAAAATGGTGTCGCAATGATTGATGACAAGGGCATCTCATAAGCTTTTTTTTTTACATCTACCTGTCTTTTCCTTTCTATACTGAGTATGGGATGTATGTGATTTATTTGGTTTGGTTCGACATAATATGTGACTGATATTCATTTTATCTTTTTTTCTCAGACAAAGAAATATTTTAAGGAGATTGGTATTCCAGCTGATGTGAAGTACATTGATCCCACTTACATGATCCGTGCATGCCGTGCAAATGCATCAGATGGAATTCTATGCGCCGTACTGGGTCAAAATGCTGTGAGACTCTCGTGCTCGCATTTTCATGCTATTTCTTGTTATGAAGTTAAATATATCTTGTCCGTCCCAAACCTGTTGCATTGCTATGTGGATTTCAAGAGTCATACCCAACTCTCATGCAGGAGAGAGCCTAAGCCAAAAATTAACTCTAATCGAGTTCCTGTCCTAATCCACACCCGCACAAAATATGGGGCGAAGAAGCAGATCTTATTATCCAAGCCTTCTAGTTAATGTGATGTTAACACGTGGCCTACCTAGAGTCAAATTCTCTTTTTGAGATAAATTATCTTCTTGAGAAGCAGAAAAAACATGCTCTAATTGAGTTCCTAATTGAACTCGAGCAGAACTCAGTTAACTCTAATTGAGTACCTGTCCTAATCCACACCCACACACAAAATATGGGGAGAAGCAGCAGATCTCATCATCCGAGCCTTCTAGTTAATGTGATGTTAACACATGGCCTACCTTGAGTCAAATTCTCTTCTTGAGATAAATTATCTTCTTGAGAAGCAGAAAAAACATTCTGAATTTTATGTGGAAATTTTAATTGGTTTAACAGCGAAGAGAATAGAAGCATATGCCCTTTAAATCAAACTCGGTTTTCTAAGTAGCTCCATAGGTAAAACATGATCCTGGTGCAGTAAAGCATGCCATAAAAATTGCCAATAAATGAGCAGCTAATAAAGTTGTGTGCTTATAAAGTTTGCTAACTAGATTCATTGAACTAATGCCAGAATCTGTAGTCCTCTTGCTAATTGAGGTGTGAAGTACGATAGATGTGGTGGTTGGTTTGTTAAACTCAGTTCGGATGGGCTTCTTCAAGCCTATGGTGTTTTCCATGTACACTTGACCATCTATCGATTAGGTTTGAGATCTTAACTGTATCTCAGTCAACTAACTTATACGCCCAGCTATTGATTAGGTTTGAGATCTTAACTTGAGGAGGCCCCGGACGACATGGGCCGGATCCGACTTGCAAGCACAACATTCGGTCCGTACAGCTGGGTCGGCCCATATAAAGACACTGCCATATGGGCCGAACGCGAGTAAGCCCATCAAAGGTGACCAGGACTTATGGAGGAATAGGCCCAGATCCAGCAATCAGTCAATATCAATATCTTGTAAATATCTATAAATAGGATAAGGAATGGAAAGGAGGGAGGATCTTTTTGGGTTGAAGTGTAAGAATTCTAGAGAGAGAAAGAGGGAACGAATTTCTTGCATCTTCAATTGGCGCCGTCTGTGGGAAACGCATGGAAGTTTGGTTGATCAATGAGGAATATCGAGTGGATTCAAACCAATTCGGTTGATCGAGACTCGATCTTTGGGATTTGGATCCAGATCTGAGCGATTGTGACCTACTCTGGAGGAATTACAATTCTTGAAGCTTTGGCGGGAGTGGCTTCAGATCTACGCAACAACGAGTTGTTCGATTGTGGCAGGATCTGACGGATTTAGAGTTCAGACAATTCAGATCTCGTAAACAGTGAGCATAATTCGGAGAATTAGAAGCCAGATCTAAAAATTCCTACTCGCGAAGCTCGGATCTACTCGCGAACTTGAGATTAATGCCTTTACTCCGTTCAGGAATAATGATAGGTGAAAGCTCCAATCCGATGGAGGCTGTCCAGCAAACAAAGCTTGAGGAGTTGATGAACTTGATTAAAGCTCTCAAAAAAGAGAATGCAGAATTGAAATGCAACATCGGCAAATACCTGCGGTTTCGCATCCACTTCCGGTCGGAGAAGGAGGTGTTCAATCTAATATCGCGCGTCAAGGCGAACAGGACGAGAACAATCAGTCAGCTCACCACCGTGATGAAAGGATGATGGACAATTTGCCGCCAAATGTTCGTCGAGTTGAAGATCACGAAGGATCGACTCACGTTGATCCGCATCGGGAAAGGTTCGACCGAGAGGAAGTGATAGAGGTTGATCGCCGTCGAGTAGCGTCGCCTTGGCAAAGAGAGTTCATAGAGGAACGGTCGTTCGATCCGTCTTACCGGCCCTCCATGGTTACTATCACTCATCGTGGTTCGGAGGGCAGAACCGTAACTCACAGAGCTACCGCTGGACTCCAGAGAAAGAATGAAGCTCTCCGATCCGCAGCTCGGACGGTGGATTCACCATTCACCGACGAGATCTTGAATGCCCCGCATCCAAGGAAGTTTGCTATGCCAGTCTTTATTCTGTTCGACGGAACGACCGATCCGATCGATCATGTGTATCATATCCAGTTGAAAATGGCCCTGAATACGGAAAACGACTCTTTAATGTGCAAATGTTTCCCTACAAGCCTAGCCGGACCGGCGCTCAGCTGGTTCAAAAATTTGCCTAGGAGCTCCATTGGTAGCTTCAGAAACCTGTGCGATCGGTTCATAAGCCAGTACTATGGGAACAAGCGCCCGCCGAAAGACATCTCGAGCCTATTCACGATGAGGCAGCACAAGGATGAACGTCTCCAGGCTTTTCTTACCAGGTTTAATCTCACTAAGAGTATGGTGATCGAATGCCACCCTTCTACAGCAGTTCAAGCCTTCAAGTTAGCCATGACACGTGGAACTCCGTTTCACACCAGTCTGGTAGTGAACACGCCAACTACTATGGATGAACTCAATGAAAGAGCCGATGGCTTTGTGCGCCTAGAAGAAGAGGAGGCAGCTAATGCTCGGACAGCGTCGCTCGTGTCGACCGAGGAAAAGTCCAAGGCAAAGATTAGGCAGAAGCAGGCTCAGCCGCAACGTCAGACCTCTTGGAAGGCAGAAAAAAGGTCCAGGGAGGAAGAGCTGATTACTCCGCTGAAGGTCACTCTGGCGAGGTTGTATCAGGAGAACAAAGATAAGTTTCATCCACCACTGCCAATTAGGCAACCCCTCGAACAGAGGGATCAAACTAAACATTGTGCTTTCCATTCTGACTTCGGTCATCAGACTAACGAATGCAGGAACCTGAGGAGGCAAGTGGAGATGTTGATAGCTAGAGGGGAGTTCGCGAGTTATGTTCAAGGTTCGGCGATAGAGCAGAATCGACCGGTGGAACAAATAAAAAGGAGTCATAAACAAAGCTCCCACAATTCACAACCAGTTCGTATAATCAATGCTATCCATGGTCGACCAGAGCCTAGTGAAGAGTCGGATGAGCTACTCCGGGCGCGCCTGCGGCAAGCGCAGATGAAGAAAAGGGTCAGCAGTGTGAATACTCTACACCAGCAGAGCCTGTCGATGCAGATAAAATTCGACTGGGCAGACCTGCAGCGTGTTCAACTGCCGCATGAAGACCCGTTGGTAGTCAGTTTGACAGTGGCAGACTGCTTGGTGCGCAGAGTTCTGATCGATCCTGGGAGCAGTGCGAATGTCATGCCGAGGGACACATTTGATAGGCTCGAGATTCAACCAGAGAGGCTCAAGCCCACCGGAAATCCCTTGTTAGGGTTCGATGGGAAGAGGGTGGAGCCCGTCGGGATGGTGGAAGTGGAAGTTCAAGCTGCAGAACGAGCTCTTATGGAAACTTTTGTGGTTGTAGAAATTCACCCCTCGTATAATCTCCTGATGGGAAGAGGATGGATTCACAGAGTCCAAGGTGTACCCTCAACTCTGCATCAGGTCATGAGGTGCCTCGGACCCGAGGGAGGTAAAGTGATAGACATTCGGGGGGATCAGGTTGCAGCCAAAGAGTGTTATTCCGTCACACTAAAGCATGTTGGGAAAGGGAAGGCGCCCGTTCGTTCGGCAAGCCCCAGATAGCAATTACAGGAACCTCCGCCCGAGCAGAACAGGGTGGAGGAGTCAGTCGACTTGACCGAGGAGCCCCTTCTAGATGTGCAGATCGATCAGTCCAGGCCAGAACGAACTACCAGAGTAGGTATAAGACTGACCAGAGAAGAGCAGCAAGAGCTAGTGGATTTCTTGTCCCACAATGCCGATGTATTTGCATGGAGTCACCTAGACATGCCTGGAATTAGTCCCTCCGTATCCTGTCATTCCCTGAATGTCAATCCCAATTTCAAACCGGTGAAACAGAAGCAGCGAAGATTTGCTCCAGAACGTAATCAAATCATAGCGGAAGAGGTCGATAGGCTGCTTGATGCGGGATTTATCAGAGAAGTGCACTACCCTGATTGGTTGTCCAACGTCGTTGTCGTGCAGAAGAAGAATGGGAAATGGCGAGTATGCATTGATTTCACCAATTTGAACAAAGCCTGTCCGAAGGACAGCTTCCCGCTGCCTAAGATTGATCAAATGGTGGATGCCACCACCGGGTATGAGCGTTTAACCTTTCTGGATGCTTATTCAGGTTATAATCAGATCCCTATGGACCCCGCAGATGAAGAAAAAACTTCTTTTGTTACCGAGCGAGGAACATACTGCTACAAAGTTATGCCTTTCGGACTAAAGAATGCGGGAGCAACTTATCAAAGACTTGTTAGCAAAATTTTTAAGAATCAAATGGGTAAGATTGTGGAAGCCTATATTGATGATATGGTGGTAAAGAGTAGGAAGAAGGATGATCATCTGAAGCATCTGCAAGACGTATTTGATGTACTGAAGCGATATGGGATGAGGCTCAATCCAACCAAGTGCTCGTTCGGTGTGAGTTCCGGACAGTTTCTGGGGCACGTGGTCAACCGCAGAGGCATCGAAGTTAGCCCCGCTCAAGCAGAGGCTTTGATTAAGAATGCCGAGCCAAAGACGATCAAAGAGGTGCAAGCCCTCACAGGACGAATAGCTGCATTAAGTCGATTTATTTCAAAATTGTTAGATCACTGCAAACCGTTCTTTGACACGATTCGGAGCCATGGAAGGCAGGTCTGGGGGGATGAGCAACGACAAACATTGACTCATTTGAAGGAATATATGCAGAATCCACCAGTCCTGTCAGCCCCAGATCCGGAAGAAAAGTTATTTCTATATCTTGGAGTATCTGGTGTCGCGACGAGTGTCGTTCTGATTCGTTGCAAGGAAGGGGTGCAATACCCGGTATTTTATGTAAGCAAAACACTGA